CGGGAGTTATTGTCCTTAAAGGGGCATTTAGCTACGATTTAGACAAACATTTGAAATATACGATTTTTTGTTTGTTTTAAGTATAAATAAAAGTGACATTTTGAAAAAAGTATTTCCTTAAAAGCAGCCATTTTGACTGTTTGGTCCAAATTTGTCAAAATAAGCTCAAAAACATCGCTGATGTATAATTGACTTGCAAGTCAATAATTTAACCTCATTGAATGCGTATTCATGTGTCCTGTAACTTAACACCTTAGTTAGATATGGGTTAGGACGTACAAGGCGTGTTCAGCTATTAAAAGAAAAAAGATTGCCAAAATTGAAAGTGAAACAAGGTTGAACCATTTCGCTGGCTAGTTCGATCCACAACAAATCAGTCTTATACATGTAAAAATAATGATTAATATATGTTGTTAAGCTATAATATGAAATCAAACAGACTTAACAAAAATCCAGTTGCACGTGCTCGCTATGTATTTACATTTATATTTATGTTTATTTCTGGTTATACGATCGTCGGCAGTCTTCGGAGGTTATCTCTATGGTAAATTAGATGGAGAGAGTACAAAATTGAAGGACAAGATCTCTAAAATAAGCTCTTGTGGAAGATTTTGCAGGTCTGTATCAAATATAATAATTTTTGAAGTCCTTATGCAAATATTTAATATATAATTCAAATATAGAATAAAGGACTTTTTGTTTTTGATACTGACTTTATCACGGTAAAGTATCAGGTGAGCCCGAAGGCCTTTATTCTTTTTATCGGTAATTATGAAAAAATTAAAATCACCAGAATAATAGAGAAAATAACAAACGAACTACTTTATCTGCGTCGAATCACGGCGAATCACAATTGACGTCACAGGCTGCATAACATCATTTGAAATGTTGTAACAGTGCAGTAAACATGGCCTTCTCTTGCACAAAGTATTGAAAATGAATTATTATATGCTTTTCATTAATTCTATTTTTAGAATGCCTTTAACAATGCGGAATATAATGGTAACATACCGGTAAGTCAAATTTCTTTATTTTTCACATAGGATAGCATAGTATGATACGATATGAATCAGCAGATTTTACATTGTTTTAGAAGTTCGGGTAAAATCTTTTACTATAGTTGGATAATTTGCTAAATAATTACACTTTTATCTTGCCGTTATACGCTCAGCGTTCATCCTGAAAACAATCAAATTGATTTTAGGAAAGCACTATATTTTCAGGCTGACTCTAAAATAACTGAAAGCTCATTTCTTGTCGACCTCATAATATTTCACATATTTTAACAGATGTCAATCAACTTTGGTCTATTTACTTTCTCTTTTTGTGGTTTTACAAAGTCATGTCATTCTTTTTTTCAACACGGACTAGAAATATGAAACATTGAAGGCCCGGGTCACACCTTATAAAGGCTACATTTATGGTTAATGCAGACTTTTTACCTATTCCACTTCAAACGTTGTCTAGTTTTGGTGTCCCGGGCACCCCCTTTTTCAAATCCTAGATCCGCATCTTAATTTGTTCGCTTATTCGTTCTTTGGTCTATGAATAGCTGTCTATACACTTACAATGAAACCACATCTCCTTAATTTTTGTATGATGGTCCCACAAAAAATGTCGAAAATATCTATATTTCATATTTTTCTAGCTTTTCTCATGCGATAGCTGTACCTTTTTGGTCACTATTTATGTGTTGCGTCCAAATATGAATTGCAACACTTAATAGTGACTGAACAGGTAAAACAAATACTTCTCGAGAAACAGAAAAAGTAGACAACTTGGAACAGTGCTAGCACCAGACTATTTATAAATAAATACGCGGATCGGAATAGTAAGGAAAGCTATCAATAATATTGCGGATAACGCAAATGTTTTAAGTTTATCGGATTTTTCGTATATTGTCTGTTCGAATTTTAACACAATCGTTCAAAAAGGCTCAACTTAATTTACTGAAACAATGAAAAGTGTTTCATACACCAAAAACGCGTGTGTTTCTCCGCGATTTTATGAATGAAAGGGAAAAGTAGATCCTTACGCGGTGCACTCACGCATGTCAATTGCGAACTGACACAATAATTTTTTTTATCACGACCAGTCCAATGATACTGACATTATCAGCGAGTACACATCAAAGGAAAAATGCACAAATTATACCGATAAATACTAATACAATATAGACTAATTTTTTAATAATATATATGAAGACCGTTATTTGATAGATTTATTGGTTTTTGTTCGAAGAAAATTGCCATGTCATACCAACTCATTAGCATCTTGTTTCCGAATCTATTGAAATAAGGGTTCCGAATAGTTAAGTTGAAGACGCCTCTTCCCGAATTTTACGGACACCATCATGATTCGTTCGACCGTTATGGAATATCTGTGTCGCATATTACCACGGAGATATTCATAGCCACATTCCATACTCTTTTCCTCAATTATAAAGGCCAAATGCGACTAATCTTCGAGTGTACTTGTCATGGACATTTCGTCGGGTGACACTCGTAGAACAGGATATGCTTACATTTTGGAGTACCACATAGCAACCCCGCTTGCATGTTGGTGGAGTTCATGTTGCACAATCTTTAGTCTTCTTTTTATAGTTTTGTCGGGTTTTCTTCAACATATAGGCTTTGATTGTCCAATTTGTACGGTATGTCCCTTTTAATCTCACCTGACCAATAGGGCCAAGTGAACAATTCACATCATTTGACGTTGTCCGTTAACCTTTACTGGATTTTCTCCCTCAGAAACTACCAGACAAACCAAATAGTGGTTATTATCTTTCGTTTGGGTATTTAGTTTGTCCAATGATCCAGCTCTCAACCCCATGGCCGTAAAGGGTAACAACATTATATAGGAATAAAATTCAAGAAGTGTCTATTATCTTGAAAATGTTAAAGATGACTGAAATAGGTCAGGACAAAAATGTTTAATATGTCAGGATCTATTTACGGTTCAAAATAGTCAGACGACTCCTTATTGAAGTAAATTACTAAGTAATGATTTTTATATATTTTATGATTTTGACTATTATCTTAAAACATTAGAGATAAAAGAACACTGTAATAGTATAAATGGTCAGCAGGAAATATTTTACAGATAAGTTATATGGTCAAATTAGTAAGTTGACTCCTTTTAGAATTTATTTCCCTTGAACGACATCTTTTATCCATGTTCTGTCTTATTGCGACAAGAAGAAAATAGGAAGTAACTTTAAAAAGCAAAAGTGATAGGCAGAACAAGGTCTACAAATAAGTCATTATGACCTAATCGTTATTTTGCTTCTTATAAAATTTTTTGCATATGAATGACGACTTTTGTGTTTTAGCGGTAACAGCACTAAATAGAGCGAATTTTTAATTCACAAAAAATATCAGTTAAAAAAGATTTATAAATAAGTGTAATGGCCGAAATCGATAGGAGTTATAGTCATTTAATGATAATTTATTTATTAATCTGGTTTGCAAAAAATCGGTACATTTCGCCTCTCTCTTAAGAGTAGCAAACATGACCATCAAAATATCATTTCGTCAATATGGCCAAAATCACTAGTCGATTCCTTATATGAGAAATCGCCCTTGACTGATGATTTTCCCTAAAATATTATCACCAACACAAGATCAAGAAAAAATCTAAATCAAAGAATCACAAATCATGTCCATACCGGAGTTCTTGTCTAAACTAATTTTCTAAACTACAACCTCAGAATATATAGTACAATTTCTTTATTTGCACTTATACATCATTTACACTTCTAGTAGAGAAATTACGTGTTTTTACATTGACTTTATGTTTGTCAATTTGTATAATTGTACATTCCACTTCCTGTCTCAATTACCTGAAATAGAAAAAAGAAATATCAGAATATCCCACCTTTTACTCGGAAGTAAAACAGAATTATAAGAATATCCCATCTTTTACTCGGAAGTAAAACAGAATTATAAGAATATCCCATCTTTTACTCGGAAGTAAAACAGAATTATAAGAATATCCCATCTTTTACTCGGAAGTTAAAAAAAACTATTAATTTTTGTCCAGATCAAATTATCAGCATCTATTCAATCAGCAATATAAACAGAACGACAGAATTATAGACTCCTTAGTCAACGGGCGGTATGGATAAACTCAAAGATATCAAGCTTAAACTTTTGTACGCCAGACGCGTGTTTTCGTCTCATCAGTGACGCTCGATTAAAAAAAAGCTTAAAAGGCAAAATAAAGTACGCAGTTGAGGGCATTGAGGACCCAAAATTCATGTTTCAGATAAAGAAATAATGAGAGAGTGTCATAAACAAAACCGGCAGTGCAACCTTTGCCAAATTGTTGACGTGTTGCAAAAGTTATTTCATGCCATAATATTGAATCTTGTTTCTACTGAAAGGTACTTTTTCCTCTTTATTTCATAGAAAAAATAGAGTTTAGTCATTGATTGAATTAAAAAGAAAGTGTTTCCTCTGGGTGGTAGCAGCTATCATTTGTTCGAAATCTAAAAATTGCTTGTCTGAACGTTCCGAACCCAATTATTCAAACTGTAATTCACTTAAGATCACATATTGCAAATATAGAACTAAAGAGTCCACATAGAATGAACTGAAAGACCGTAAAACTACCCCATATTATTGTATCATTTAAGCTTAAACTGAATAAAATGTAATTTATTATTTTGAATGACATTTAATTGCACTTTTGATAATACTCATCTAGTAAAAATATTTGTTTTCAATAAGAAAATTACATTATTAACATAATATTTCTGCTTAAGCACCTGATAGCACCCCGGTTTTTGGTAGGATTCTTATTGCTCATTCTTTTGTTTTCCGTGTTGTGTTCTCGACTGGTTTGTCTTTTCGTCTTTTTCAGTTTTTTGTCATGGTATTTTTGGTTTTTCATTGACATATATGTTTCTCTTTTTTGCATGCTATTGTATGTTTTCTTATAAATACCTTCAAATATAATGGTTGTCGAGTATAAAAATAAATATATTAAAGTAACACTTACTACCAACCACCACTGCCACCACTGCCACCACCGCCACCACCGCCACCACTGCCACCACCGCCACCACCGCCACCACTCTCATCACTGCCACACTGCGAATATGGTATCTTTCTACCTCTTCCGACAGTATAGAACACAGCTTTGCACTCGTCACAATAATTGTTACTATGAGAAGACATAATTAACAAAAGTTATACTGTTATTAGAAAACTGATAACAAAATTTAGAAAAAGTGACCACAATTCGTAAATAGGAAAGGGAAGATGTCTTAAAATTCGAAGAGAAGAAAGATTATGCAAACACTGCAAAAAAAAAATGAAGATGCAATTCATTTCCTTTTTATATTGTGATATTAACAGTAATATTAGAAAAGTTTTAATTTTGATTTTTTGATAAATGAGAACACATTTTATAGATTTAAATGATATAGATAAAATTACATATATCCTCAACCCAAGATCAAACATTCAGGTAAATAAGCTTGGATCCTTTTTAACAGTCTATAGAACTGACGACAGGGGACTCTTGAAATCTTTACTTTCATTATGTATATAAACGATCTTGTCAATATTGTTTGTTTTTATTTTTGTTATGTTGTGTCACATGCTATAAATGTAAGAGTTATGGCAATAAATAGTTGAATTGAATTGTTATTCAGTTACAAGAAACTGTGATACGCATGGGTGATATCGGAAACTAATGTAATTTACCACAAATGGAAGTTTTGAACGACCTTGACTGGCTATACAGCCCTTGCACGGTACGACCTTGACTGGCTATACAGCCCTTGCACGGTCGGCAATGTAATTTACATACATAGTGACAGTTTAAATTGTATAAAATAAAATATGAAAACAACACGGTGTAGATTACATGCTTCCGAAGCGCTTATCTGAATTTACATTTGTACCTTCATCAGGAACGTTCGAAGTAGAATATTTGAAAGCCAAGAATGTTTAAGAACCGGAACAGTTGAAGAGCAATATGACCAAATAGGACATAAAAATAATAGCCAAATCCTGGACCATCTAAAGTAGACTTTGCCTGAGAAAGTTGACTTAGGTAATGTCAAAATTCAAACAGAAAATATGCTTTCTTTTCCGTGTTAACATTTGCGTTCAAGATCTGTATAAATTATCGTTATTTGTCACGGGACATTAAACAAGCAGCACTAAATCAATCAACATGCTAATTATTAACAAAAGGCTGAAGAAACAAAAATATATATATTTGTCCCCGTTAGCCCGGTTTTGTAATTTGCTAATTTCATTTGTAAGTGTATGTAAATTTAAATAAACAAAAAAATTATCTTACCAGCAATGGGCGTTCGGATAGTTAGGACAACTTTCAATATCGCATCCTTTCGGATGACATCCTGGGTAATATTCGCTCGGAGAACATTTAAAATCAGGGCATTTGAAATCTGAAACAATATGATTTGATCTAATAATGACGAAAATGAAGGTGTACCGGCTGTGTTGCTAGGAAATTAGAATGTCGAAAACGTCAAAAAATGCAAGACAACTACATTGTACAAACCAGGATTGAAAATAACACATAGAAAATATGCATGAGCAAATCAACATTGAAAAAACAGATTTGTATGACAACAGTCCTTTCAAAAAATGAGCGAATGGTCAAATTTACTTCCTGTTTCAGTAAGAGTTTATTCAAGTGTCCTATTTGGGACCGTATATTAATAGTTTTCACTTATTAAAGTGGACGCATAAAAATCACCAGTTTGCTAAATAGGACTTGTATATGCACATACATTTAGTGTGGCGTCCATTTCGCTGAACTAGAATACATTATTGTTTAGGGGCCAGCTAAAACCCTTTTCCGGGTGCGAGATTTTCTCGCTGCGTTGAAAACCCATTGGTGGCCTAGGGCTGTTTTCTGTTCTTTGGTTGGGTTGATTTTTCGTATACACATTCCCAGTTTCCATTCTCAATTCTACATACTATACTTTATCTGTGCGGCTGGGTCATTTTTGCAATATTTTTTTTTAACCTAGCTCCTATAGTTTTGTTTTAGATATAATCAAAAACTACAAAACAAAATATTAAAATCAACGTTTCAGGGGTAATAACTCCAAAAAGTGTTGTAAAATTTTCATAGTTGATAGATTTTTTTCATGCTTATCATTTACCCTAGCTCCTATAGTTTTCAAAATAACTGCCAAAAAATATGCGAAAAATTGAAAAAAACGTATATTTTAGGGGCAATCACTTCAAACAGGTGGACAGATTCTTCTCAAATTTACAGGGTTAATAGATCTTGTCATACCGATAATTATCGCAATTTAAACCTATCTACAAAAAATTTCACAATAACAGCGAACAACTGCAAAAAATTGATATTTTAGAGGCAATAACTTCATAACAGGTGGGCTGTTTTTTTCTCCAAATTTCTCATTTGTACATACATCTTGTGCTGATCCTTTTAGCAATTATACTTTAAACCTAGCTCATAAGTTTTCAAAATATCGACCAATAACTGTTAAAAATTGGAAACCAATCGATATTTCAGTGACAGGAACTCTAACACAAGTAATAGTTTTATTTCCAATTTTCAGGGTGGATACATCTTGTAAGGCTGATTATTTATTCCAAGAAACACTTTAAAACTACATGTAGTTCCTATTGTTTTTGAAACAATGGCACGGAAATGCCCCAAAAGTTGAACATAAAATATTTCAGAGGCAATAACTCAGTCCAAAACATGTGGACAGATTATTTTTCCAAAATGTTCAGGTTAGATAGAACATAAGGTTCTAACAATTTTACACTTGTCAGTTTTTTTTTCTCTAATTGCTACAGTTTTAAATTAACCAGAACTGTAGTTTGACTCCATTTTCCTTTTTAGACACGGCAGCAATGTTGGTTGATCCACTTGGAAAAATCACAGACTTTATACTTTAAAGTAGTTGAAATCATATAGATGACGTAGACAAACTTTGGTTTTAATCCACTGAGCAGTTTCAGAGAAGATTTAAAAACAAAAAATGTCCTTTTTGAGAGAGAGAGAGAGAATAACAAGATCCTTACTAAATAAACAAGTTGTTCCTCTCTTTGTATCTATGATGAGTTTATTCGATTTTTTTTATCTTTATTCATCACACTACATATCTATACATACTATACAATTATTACACATATCATAGATACAATATTATCACATTTTGAAGATAGTCCATACAATATTGCACACATGCATACTCTTACACATTACAGCATTATCACTTCGTTTTCTTTTTTTATTCTTTTTTAATCTTTGAATTAAAAAAAATGTAATAAAAAATATCTAAAAAAAAGACAATCAATCTTATTTATATTTCATAACATTGCTTTCAGTAACCACGGTTATTAAAACATGAAAACAATGTATGCGGATGGTTTTCCAATTCCGTCACATAATCAACTTTATTCCGACATTGTGAGTTATTAACTCAAAAACTTGAATTGACAGATCGTTCAAAATCTTTTTCTATATTTTCTGGCAATTTATGTTTATGTATATGTCTCGCTTTAACAGTTGGAATATACTTCTCAACACCTAAATCTGTCTACCTTTCAATGCAGTCGATATAAGACATATAACAGAGCAAAAGGATATTTGATGGTTCCATAACATGAATACCATTTTCCATTTATTTTCAAATTAGAATAAAAAAGAAAAAGGGTAGTAAATTGTTGATATGTTGTTTCGGGTGTTTAAAAAAGGATTTTAGCAGGACTTTAAAAGATATATACAAGTCGACCAATACAAGCATTTAGAAAACCTGAGCGTTCAATTAAAAATATTTTTGGTTTCTATTGTAGATTGATATTTATTACACATGAGTATATTGCCAGCTCGTCATGCACCCAAGTATTGATTGGACTGAATATTCCTGTACCAGTAGCATCTTTATCTTATTTGTGTCGGGGCCTCCGTGGCCAAGTGGTCTAAAGCTAAGTAGTTCTACTACTGTAATCACTTACCAGTCAACACTGAGGTTGTGAGTTCGAACCCCATCCGTGCGGGTGCACTCGAGTCCAATCTTAATTGACTACGATTGTCAGTTTTCCTATCGAAGGTCGGTGGTTTTCTTCGGGCACTCCGGCTTCCATCACCAATAATAACTGGCTGCCACGAAATACCTTAAAAGTGACGCTTGAAAGTGGCGTTAAAACACCAACAATCAATAATCAATCTTATAGGTGTCAGACCACCAATTCAAAATGTCTGTCTATTCAACCAAATTTTGCAATTTTCACAGCTTTCTAAATATTTTACCTTAAGTTAAACTTCATAAAAACCAGGTTTATCCTGAATTGTATATGTATCACCTTTATACATGCCTATTTTCAACCCATGTTTATTGTCTTCTAAGAAAAAATGTCCATCACAAAATAAGTACTACTAAAAATAACCCCTGGTTATCTGGAAATCTTAAATTAGTATACTATGGAGCGCATTGATCCTCATAGACAAGTAAATTTTTGCTCAGAATGTTCTAAATATATTTCTCTTTCAATAAAAGTTTCATTTCTGCAAATTTGTTGGTTAGTTTAAGTAAACAATGACGTCAAAAGCACTATTTTGTGTCAGAGTAGGGCTACTTTTACATACGTTCTAAATTGGAGGGAGTGAATTGGTGATCTGACACCTAAACATAACCAAGATGCAATGTTTAAAATATTTTAATTATCTGTTATATTTTACCTTCGCATCTATCACCAGTCCACCTCGGTCTACAGTGACATTTAAAAGTAACTGGTCCGATCTTAGTGCATTTTCCACCATGTTGACATGGGTTTGGATCAGAAGGGCATGATATATAATCTGAAATAATATACTATACATCATTTTATACGAAATAGGCAAGTTGTAAATGGAGCGATACAAATGAAAAAGATGTTAGGTAACCCTTAATGAGATAACAGCACAAATACCCAAAAGACATATGAAGGTCTGTTACAGGACAACAGTCTAATATCCAATTTTCAGCAAAACTCCAGCTGTTTGCCCTTCATCCTTGTCGATCTACTGTTCAAAACATTCATCTTTGTGTTATGAACAAGCATCTAAAAAGAGATGTGTATCGAAAATGTCTCAAAGTGGCATTTTAGTTTGTCCAACAGAATCTTAACATTGCGGTCCACAAGCACACGTAAAGATAC